GGTAAAACTGCCAACCAGACGCGTCCGGGACAAAGCCAAGGAAGACACAAGGAACAGCACGAGAGGAGAGCTTGTCCGCGGACATATCGCGAACAAAAGCTCGAGATCCCCAGACCCGAAAACGCGACGCATCGCCAACCTCTCCCGTCCAACGCAGTGTCGGCGAAGTCTCCGGAACGGAGACACGGGGCCAGAGGTTGAGCTGATGCGCAGCGTATCGGACCGCAAACGGCCACAGAAAGTGGGGGGCAGCCGCATGGATCAAGGAGGTACGAGCGACCTCCATGACCAAACCAATGCGGCGCTCAGCAACCCCATTCTGCTGTGGAGAGGCCGGAAGCGTGAACGACTGCTCAATGCCCTCCCCCTGACAGAAGGCCCTCAAGAGGTCGGAGGAAAACTCCCCACCTCTGTCAGAGTGCAGACGCAGGACAGGAAAGTCCGAGTGGAACCTCTCGCTGAGCTGGAGACGGGCAGCGCGGATCCAAGGGATCAAAACATCAGCGACTTCACCCTTGGTGCGCAAGGGGAAGACCGTGGTGTAGCGCGAGTAGTCGTCAACAACTATCAAGAAGTACCTCTCGTGACCCTGTCCACGGATGCGGGCTGGGACCCACACGTCCATGTAGAGCGTCTGCAGGGGAGCACTCGTCGGGGGAAACGAGGAGGAGTGAGGAGCGGCGCGCTGCCGCCCGTCGACACAGGGAAGACAGGGAGGAGCAGGCGAGGGTGGGAGGGGAGGGAGAACCCTGGGAAGACCAGAGACAAGGTACCGGGAGTGCATGCCACGAAGGCGCTGCACTGACGGGTGACCAAGGCGGTGGTGCCAGTGGACGGTCTCGTGCGCCAAGGAGCGACACGAGCAGGGGGCAGACAGCTGACCTGACGCAGACGCAGACGCAGCTACCCGAGGGGACTCAGTGGTCAGTGTGTACAGGTCCGACCCCGGCTGCCGAGTGAAGGTAGCCAGGTGGCGACCCGTCCGAGCACACGTGCAGTGTGTCACGCGCTCGTAGGCAGGGGTGAACTGGTGGACACCCCCATCCTGGAGCGCACGACCCGCCACCAAGTTCGTAGAGAACGAGGGGAGGTAGAGACCTGACAGTGTGCCCGACGGGACCGCAGGACAAGGGAGGACAGTGGAGGAGGTCGCAATGACCGGACCCCCAGAGGGGTCAGCGAGGGAGACTGCAACCGGCCGAGCAAGCTGCTCAAGGGCAGTGCGGTCACGGAAGAAACAGCGGGAAGCACCTGAGTCCAGTGTGAAGGTGTGCAGTGCCTCAGTAGACGCAGTACCAGAGGGCGCAGACTCACGAGTACCTAGAGCAGCAGCCTCACCAGCACCTGGGGCAACAGACACACTAGCACCTAGAGCGGCAGCCTCACCAGCACCGGAGGCAACAGACACACGAGCACCTAGTGCGGCAGCCTCACCAGTACCTAGAGCAGCAGACTGGATACCGGGGTCAGGCGGCACACACAGGTGACAGGCTCCCTCGGCACTAGCAGACAATGCATACATTGCAGTGAGAATAGCATCATAGGCAAGAGCAAAGATATCTACCCGCTGTCCAAGCAGCTCCACCCAGTCGGGGAGCTCAGCGTCGTCGCCAAACTCTGTACGCCAAGGGTCACTCAGACGGGCGAAGCAGTGGGACTCTGTGTGACCACGCGTCCCGCAAGGCTGACCAGTCCGGGCACCCGTGCTAATAACGTACGGGCAGCGAGCAGTACTCAGCGACCCTCTACTCTGAGCGTACCACTCACGAAGCTGCTGGGGCGAAAGAGACTCGCGCGGACGACTCTGCTGCTGCACCGGGCCACTACAAGAAGTTCCCGAACTACCCACTCCAGGACGACTCCCACTACGGCCACCCCGACAACCCCAACTGGCGTACCACTCACGAAGCTGCTGGGGCGTGAGGGACACACGCGGACGGCCGTGGAGCTGCATCTGGCCACACCAGGAGCAGCAGTAGCAGCAGTAGCGGCAGTAACAGCAGTAGCAGCAGGAGCAGTAAAAGCAGTAGCAGCAGTAGCAGCGGTAGCAGCGCGGGCAGGGCAGTGCTCACCAGTGGTGGGAAGGGCAGGCGCAAGGCGGCGGCGACAGCGGGGCCGCTACAGCTGTAGGGCGGGGCCGGGCCGCGGCAGGGAGCTCCGCGGCAACTGCTGCAGGGCGGGGTCGGGCCGCAACGGCAGCTGCTCCAGGGGCCAGGGGCGGCTCCTGCAGTGGCGGCTGCTCCAGGTGGCCAGGGGCGGCTGCTGCAGGGGCGGCTGCAGGTGCGGCTGCTCCAGGGGCCACGGGCGGCTGCTGCAGTGGCGGCTGCTCCAGGGGCCAGGGGCGGCTGCTCCAGGGGCCAGGGGCGGCTGCTGCAGTGGCGGCTCGGCTGGGGCGACGCGACGGGCTAGGGCAGCCCGCAAGGGCGACGCGACGGGCTAGGGCAGCCCGTAAGGGCGACGCGACGGGCTAGGGCAGTCCGCAAGGGCGACGCGGCGGGCTAAGGCAGCCCGCAGGGGCGACGCGACGGGCTAAGGCAGCCCGCAAGGGCGACGCGACGGGCTGGGGCAGCCCGCAAGGGCGACGCGACGGGCGAAGGCAGCCCTCAGGGGCGACGCGACGGGCTAAGGCAGCCCGCAAGGGCGACGCGACGGGCTAGGACAGCCCGCATGGGCGACGCGACGGGCTAGAGCAGCCCGCAAGGGCGACGCGACGGGCTAAGGCAGCCCGCAGGGGCGACGCGACGGGCTAAGGTAGCCCGCAAGGGCGACGTGACGGGCTAGGGCAGCCCGCAAGGGGGACGTGACGGGCTAGGGCAGCCCGCAAGGGCGACGCGACGGGCGACGCGCGCGGCTGTCCTAGGGCGCACGACGGCGCTAGTAGGCGCGCCCGACGGCGCTAGAAGGGGCGCTCGACGGCGCTAGTAGGGGCGCTCGACGGCGCAAGAAGGGGGGCGCTCGATGGCGCTAGTAGGGGCGCTCGATGGCGCTAGAAGGGGCGCTCGACGGCGCAAGAAGGGGCGCTCGTCGGCGCTAGTAGGGGCGCTCGACGGCGCTAGAAGGGGCGCTCGGCGGTGCTAGAAGGGGCGCTCGACGGCGCTAGTAGGGGCGCTCGACGGCGCGGCGGAACGGTGGGCCCAAACCAACGTCGGTCCTAGGTCCTGACCTAGGCGTCGGATACCATGTTAGAAACTAGAAGTGAACGAGAATGTGTGAAACTAGGCAGCAGGGTGATACAAGTAGGAAACCCTAGCAATGTTGTACCCCCTAAGGCTAAACCCACTATAGCCTACACAATAGGAACATGTATAATGTTTGACAGTAGTCACACATGGTGCAGCAGGTCCTTCGGCGGTTCGACTTCCAGTTCTCCACCACACAGCCCACTCCTCTTGCTGTTGACCACAGACTCACTGGCCCCTTTCCCGACGAGCCTTTTGAGTCCAGTGGTCCCTACGCAGAGCTGGTGGGCTGCCTCATGTACCTGATGACTTGTACTCGGCCGGACCTCGCCTTTCCCCTCAGCGTCCTCTCTCGCTTTGTTGCGACTGGGAGACACCGTCCTGTCCACTGGACAGCTGCTGTGAGGGTGGCGAAGTACCTGGCGACTACATCAGGCATGGGGCTTGTGCTTGGAGGGACTCAGCCAGTGGCGTTGACTGGTCACTGCGACTCTTCCTACGCTGACGACGTGGAGACTCAGCGTTCGACTCAGGGTTACTGCTTCAGTCTGGGAGCTGGTGCTGTGTCGTGGAGGTCTACTCGGTCGTCGTCTGTGGCTACTTCCAGTGCAGAGGCAGAGATCTACGCTGCCATGGCGGCACAGGAGCTGCGTTGGTTGACCTTCTTGCTCGCCGACCTTGGTGAGCGGCCTCGCTCTGCACCGACCTTGTACGCTGACAACAAGGCCATGATCCTCCTGTGTCGAGAGCCTCGACTGGAGAGCAGAGTGAAGCATATTGACGTGAGGTACTTCCTCCTGCGAGAGCTGCAGCGACGCGGCCAGGCACGCCTGGACTTTGTGGCCTCAGAGGCCAACACTGCAGACGTCTTCACCAAGGCCTTGGCGCTTGGTGATCACCACAGGTTCTGTGTGCAGTTGGGGCTTGTTGAGGTAGGCCCCCGGTTGCTTTAGTCTTGTTGCTTGCTCTGCTTGTTGTGTTTTCCTATTTATATCCTAGTGAACTCTTGAACTGGCCTTGTGGCCGCTTGCTTGTGCTCGGAATTTGTGTGGTGTCCTTGAGATCCACCCTGAGCTTGTCTTGCCTTGACTAGTCTTGTGACCGTTTGTTTTCACCTTGCTTGCCCTGGTGTCCCTCACTTAGCCTATGGGGGTGTGTCAAATGTTAATGTTATGATAGGCTGCAGTGAGGCACTCCCTAGAGGGTACAACATTTGTAGGACTCCTATTTGTATGCTTGCAAACCCTAATCCCAATCATTCCGTTGCATGTAGATTCTGAGAACGGGCACGGGACGTGGTGTACGGGGTGAGAGGTGTGCGGGGTGAGTGGTGTGCGGGGTGAGTGGTGTGCGGGGTGAGTGTGTTTATCCTCCTATAGTCTCATTCAGTTTATCCTCCTTTTCCACAAATACACTCAGTCCCTCTATTCTCTATATTCACTCATTTTGAGGCGCCTCAAAACTGTTTATTACACACCCCATCCTCCTATACTCACATACAGTTTATCCTCCTTTTCTGCAAGTACACTCAGTCCTTCTATGCTCTTTCTTCTCGCCTTTCTCCCCCTAGCATCATCAGTGCGGCAGCGAGCAACACGAACGTGAGTGTGGTGCTTCAATCTACCGTCTCTCATCTCCCTCCACCCATCCCAACCCACCAGTGCAGCCGCGGGCAAAGCGAACGTGGGTGTGGCACCGCGAGTGGCGTGGCACCTCGTGCGCGTGCATTTCTGTGTTACAATACAAGGCGCTCTCAGTCTCACTCCCACCTTCAACCCCCCCACCCCCACCTTTTCCTTCTAACCAGAGCGGCAGCGGGCAATGCGAACGTTAGCGTGGAGATGGGCGGCCGCAGCTTCTTTCCCTGCCCTTCACCCTACCTTCTCATCCCTCTCCACCCCTCCCAACCCACCAGAGCGGCAGCGGGCAATGCAAACGTTAGCGTGGAGATGGGCGGCCGCAACTTTGGATTCGCGAGCGGCGTGGCACCGCGGGCGCGCATCTCATCCCTCTCCACCCCTCTTAACCCGTCAGAGCCGCTGCTGGCAACGCCAACGTGAGTGTGGAGATGAGCGGTCGAAGCTACGGGGCAGCGAGCGGCGTGGCACCGCGGGCGCGCATCGCCATGTACAAGGCGCTGTGGTGGGTGAAGGACTTCGGCGCAGCGGCCGGCACCAACTCCGACCTCCGAGCCGCCGTTGATGCCGCTGTGGCGGACGGTGTGGATGTGCTCTCGCTTTCTTTGGGGGATTCGGTGCGCGAGTATTTCTCACACATTCACTACATGAATGCGGCTAAGGTGAGGCTTTGGAGATAATCCCAAGGTACCCTGCTGTGGCGGACGGCGTGGATGTGCTCTCGCTTTCTTTGGGGGATTCGGTGCGCGAGTATTTCTCACACATTCACTACATGAATGCGGCTAAGGTGAGGCTTTGGAGATAATCCCAAGGTACCCTGCTGTGGCGGACGGCGTGGATGTGCTCTCGCTTTCTTTGGGGGATTCGGTGCGCGAGTATTTCTCACACATTCACTACATGAATGCGGCTAAGGTGAGGCGGCTTTCTGCAGGCTGGTGTGTTTGCGGTTCACAAGGCATGAGGCGATTCTTGAGGCGATTTTTTGGGCGCCTAAAAAACCTGCCCTCTCCTTAACCTCCCCGTATCCCCCATGATTTCTGCAACGAGGCAACGAGGCGCATCCCTCTCCCATGTCGAATCCCCTTCTTACCCCTTCCCACCCCACCCCACCACACCCCACCCCACCCCACCCCACCCCACCCCACCCCACTCCACCCCCGGCAATGCTGGCAGGCGGGTGTGTTTGTGGCACTGGTAGCAGGCAACGAGGGGCCTCCCTCTCCTACACATGATGTGGGGACGCTCGAAAACGTTGCTCCTTGGTACCTGACGGTGGGAGCAACGTAAGTTGAGAGGATTCTGTTGTTAAGAAAGTGACAGACACACAGTGCGGCGCAATGTAAGTTGCGAGAGATTTCTTTGTTGAACGGAAGAGGTGTGCTGATGAAGACGCTTCGTGAGACGGGGTAACGGTGTGCTGTAAGGAAACTACTTCTCCATGGCTTGGGGTATGGGATGGATGGAGCTTATGGGAGTGAGTGAGTTGCACCTCTTAAAAGCGACTCAGAACCCCTCTATATCCCCCTCGCTCCCCTCACTCAAGGCATCCGTCTCTCCCTTCCCACAGCACCATTGGTCGACACGGTGTGGCAAAGCTGATCCTGGGGCACGGTGTGGCAAAGCTGATCCTGGGGCACGGTGTGGAGTCTACTTTTAAGCTCACTCTACTTTTTGATCCTTAAAAAATTAGGCATGGTGTGGCTCTTAGGGGAGTGAGCTTTGGAGGCACCGAGTAGAGGAGGATCCATGCAGGAAGGCACATAGCCAGTTACTCCCTTCCCTCATCCCGCTCCCTCCCTCCCTCTTCTCCCTTCCCATCTTCCGCTCCTCCCCTCCCCTCTCACAGCACCATTGGTCGGCAGTACCTTGCAAAGCTGATCCTGGGGAATGGGGAGGAGGTGAGGGGAGTGAGCTTCGGAGGCACCGCACAGACGGTCAATAAAGTGCTCCTGCCGACTTCCGCTGCTGTCAGAGCAGGCGCGTCTGCTGCTGATGTGAGTCACACGCATTTATCACAAGGTGACTTTGAGTCGAGTCACAGGTCAATAAAGTCGAATCCCCATCAGCACATTCCAAGCATCCTCTCTTTTGCCCTCCACCTGTTTGCATCGTTCCCCCTCTGATGATCCCCCAGGCTGATGTGTGTGACTTTACTGCCATCGATCAAAGCCAATTGGCTGGGAAAATTATCGTGTGCACATAACAACCCTCCTCTCTCTCCTTTGCCCTGCGTTGCGCCTCTCTCCTTTACCCTTTTTATGACGCCAGGCTGATGTGTGTGACTTTACTGCCATCGACCAAAGCCAATTGGCTGGGAAAATTATCGTGTGCACATAACAACCCTCCTCTCTCTCCTTTGCCCTGCGCTGCGCCTCTCTCCTTTACCCTTTTTATGACGCCAGGCTGATGTGTGTGACTTTACTGCCATCGACCAAAGCCAATTGGCTGGGAAAATTATCGTGTGCACATAACAACCCTCCTCTCTCTCCTTTGCCCTGCGCTGCGCCTCTCTCCTTCACCCTTTTTATGACGCCAGGCTGATGTGTGTGACTTTACTGCCATCGACCAAAGCCAATTGGCTGGGAAAATTATCGTGTGCACATAACAACCCTCCTCTCTCTCCTTTGCCCTGCGCTGCGCCTCTCTCCTTTACCCTTTTTATGACGCCAGGCTGATGTGTGTGACGACACTGCCATCGACCAAAGCCAATTGGCTGGGAAAATTATCGTGTGCACATAACAACCCTCCTCTCTCTCCTTTGCCCTGCGCTGCGCCTCTCTCCTTTACCCTTTTTATGACGCCAGGCTGATGTGTGTGACGACACTGCCATCGACCAAAGCCAATTGGCTGGGAAAATTATCGTGTGCACATAACAACCCTCCTCTCTCTCCTTTGCCCTGCGCTGCGCCTCTCTCCTTTACCCTTTTTATGACGCCAGGCTGATGTGTGTGACGACACTGCCATCGACCAAAGCCAATTGGCTGGGAAAATTATCGTGTGCACCTTTGAACCATCTGTAGGAATCCCCATTACCTTCCTTACTGCTTCTAAGGCAGCAGCGCTTGTCCTCCTTAATAACTCTCTCGATACAGACAACATGGACATGATTCCTTTCACCAACCTGCCCGTCCTGTTCCTCACCAGCGCCCAGGGCGGGCAGGTGAACAATTACCTGGAGCAGACAGCCAATCCCGTGGCGACACTTAGCGAAGTCATTACCACAAATTCCTCCAACGCCCCCCAAATGACTAAGTTCTCTTCCACCGGACCAACCGTAAACCCATCCTGGTTTCCAGTCCCTTCCTCCTTCGCAACCAACGACATCTTAAAGCCGGACATTGTAGGTCCGGGGCAAGGCAGCGCGTGCGGGCATGCGCGGCAGGGCAGCGCGTGCGGGCATGCGCGGCAGGGCGGCGCATGGGCAGCTATGCGCGAGGTAGCGGCGGCAGGGCAGCGTGCGGCGGGCAGGCGCGACGCGCGGGTCCGTGGTGGCAAGGCAGCGCGCGCGGGCAGGCACGCCGCGCGGGGTAGTGCACGGGCAGGCGAGGTCGATCTGACCTATTGCCCGACAGGTGACATGGCAGATGACTTCCCTATGAAACGACTGCCCCGTCAGCAATACCAGTACTGCTCCGAACTCAGCGGAATAGTCAAGCGGGTCAAGACTTGCTACGACAAGGAGTGAAGGGGTGTGTTACGAATAGTGAATCGTGAAAGCACTCTGCACTCCTATCAGTAGCAAGCGAGGAACACAATGAAGAGTACGAAGGCGAAAAGGCGGAATGGCATGAAAAGTCGCGTACAGTTAGGGAGGATCTCGACCGTCGGAGCAGAAGCATCGCAGAGCTGCAGTGGCGAGGATTCTGGCGGGAACAGGTTCGTAACCGTTTGGAGTCGCACGGTTGGTTTTCGTTGCAATAAGATAATGTACCCCTTAGAGTACATGGCTAGTCTAGGTCGTTTCGTATTCCCCCGTACTCATATATAAACAAATGTATTTGGATGTTTTTATTATCTCATACATTTTAAATTCACACTTACATGAGGTCAGTTCTTCCGCTGCAACACACACTCTCTGCGAAACTTCCTGAGGTGATCCTAGGCACGATAAAATTTTTTGATCGCAACATGGTATGAGAGCGACTCATGAATTTGCGCCACGTACGCACGCCGTTGCCAGAGCTAGCAAGACATCCTATCGGGCCGTTCACGGATGACAATCCGTTTACCTCCCGACACGATTTCAACGACGACGACGGCCAGGATTGGAACTTACCAATCCCGCTACTTGAAAGCCCCCTGTGGGAAGGAGAACGCGAATGAATGAACTATGAATGAAGTGAGTACATATAGGAAACCCTAATTGGGTTGTACCCCCTATGGGATACCCCACTATAGCCTACACAACAGCATAAGCTATATAATGTTCTGACACACCCCCATAGGCAAAGTGGGGGAGAACAAGGGGTCACAAGACCAGTCACGCAAAGCACAGCAAGCTCAGGGTGGATCACAAAGTCACCACACAGTCCGAGCACAACGACAAGGCCACAAGGCCAGTTCACATGCAGGAGGACACATATATATATAGAGCTAGACAAGCAAGAGCAGGTATATATATGTGACAGTACAAGCAAGGTCAAGAGGAGAGCAAGTGAGGCAAGACAGGTACAAGACCCAACTGAGTGCAGAAGCGCTGATGGTCACAAGGCGCAAGTGCCTTGGTGAACACATCAGCAGTGTTGGCCTCAGAGGCCACGTACGCAAGTCGCAACTGACCACGCTGCTGCAGCTCACGAGCAAGAAAGTAACGGAGAGCAATGTGCTTCGTTCTGTGCTCCAAGCGTTGCTCTCGACACAAGGCCAGCATGGCCTTGTTGTCTACGTACAGCACTGGAGGAGAACGAGGCTGCTCTCCAAGGTCAGTCAGCAGGTAGGTGAGCCAGCGAAGCTCCTGTGCAGCCATGGCCCCGGCGTAGATCTCAGCCTCACAACTGGAGCCGAGAACAGAGGACGAGCGAGTAGCCAGCCACGAGACAGAGCCGGAACCAAGACTGAAGGTGTAACCCTGCGACGACCGCTGCGTAGCCTGGTCGTCAGCCCAAGAAGCGTCCGCGTGCCCAGTGAGGACCACTGGACTCCGCCCTCCAAGCACTAGCCCCATGCCCGACGTACTGCACAAGTAGCGCAACACCCTCTTCGCTGCAGCCATGTGCTCTGGTCGGTGTCTCCCAGGAGCAACATAGCGTGCAAGAATGCTAAGAGGGTATGCAAGGTCAGGTCGTGTGCAGGTCATCAGGTACATGAGGCAGCCAACAAGCTCTGGGTACGGGCCACTCGACTCTACGGACTCATCCGAAGGCAGAGCTGAGAGCGAGTGGCGAGTAGACAGAGGAGTGGCCTGAGGCGAGGAGTACGTGAAGCCGAAGCGCTGAAGGACCTGCTGCACCATGTGTGACTGAGTCAAGGTAATGGTGCGGCGTGCTCTGTCCCGAGTGATCTGCAAGCCAAGGTAGCTGCGCAGTTCACCCAGGTCTGTGCACGTGTGTCTCTTCTGCAGCTCGGACTTCACGTAGGCTAGTCCAGCAGTGTCAGCTGTGGCAAAGACCAAGTCGTCGACGTACACGAGGATGTAGAACGGCGGCAAAGAAGTGTCGGTGCGCAGAAACAACGACGGGTCAGCAGTAGAGGGAGCAAACCCAAGAGCCGCAAGCGTAGTCCTCAGTGTGTCGTGCCACTCACGCGGTGCCTGGCGGAGACCGTAGACTGGCCGTCGGAGGCTCCACTGGGTGCCAGGAGGGAAAGTCCCAGTGAAGCCAGGTGGACGGCGCAGCCAGATCTCCTCGTGCAGGCTACCCTGCAAGAAAGCAGTGCTGAAGTCAAGAGAGTGGAGCTCGTAGTCGCGCTGAGCGGCTATGTGCAGCAGCACCCGAAGAGTGGTCATCTTCGGGGTGGGAGAGAAGGTCTGAAAGTAGTCAACTCCCTGCCGCTGACTGAAGCCACGAGCGACGTACCGCGCCTTGAAGACAGGTGGAGAGCCCGGCGGCCGCTTCACCCTGAAGATCCACATGCCACTGACGATGTTCGCCCCAGGAGGGGGCACCGCGTCAACGTAGGTGCCTGTGGACTTCCAGGACGCCATCTCTGCATCCATAGCTGCCTGCCACTGAGAGGAGTAGGGACCCTCTACGGCCTCCGCGTAAGAGCGCGGAGTCGGGATGTCTAGTGCATCCGGGTCTCCCTCAGGGGCAAGTAGTACGGACGCGAGATGAGGTGAAGCAGCAGCCAGACACTGGAACTCCTCCTGCCTGTCCTCAAGGACGTCCGTGCCAAGAGCACACTCACCCCCGACGGACGGAGGACAGACAGACGCAGACTCAGCAACAAGACCGGCAGCGTAGTCTAGACGACAGCGAGCAGCAAAGTCGACGAGCTCAGCAACAAGCGCAGACGCAGCAGTGGACTCAAAAGAGGGGTCAGTGACGACAGTAGCAAGGAGACGTGTGACAGTAGGACTAGCAGCACGAAGAGAGTCGGACTCTGGGTCGGTAAGTGCAGGAAGGGAGGACTCAGGAGGAGAAGGCAAAGGGGCACGCAGAGGAGCAGTGGACGGACGCAAAGACATCCGGTGCGTGCCAGGGACAGGAGGAGGACGCTGACGCGAACCGCGACCACTAGCGCGAGCAGCACGAACAGGCGACGCAGGACGAGACGCAGGCTCACGACGCTCAGCAAGACCTCCAGTGGGACCAGTGTAAGGAGAGGGAGCAGGAAGTGGGGAGGCGGGCTCTAACTGGGACTGTGACTGAACAGGCGGTGGACACGCTGCAGGAGGAGAAAGACCAAGAACCTGCTGTAGGAGTGGAACGAAGTACGGCCGAGGCCGCGCGGCGACTCCAGACACAGCAGGGACAGCACCCTCAGCAGCAGCACCAGCGCCAACAGCACCTCCAGCGGCAGGACCTCCAGCAGCACCAGCAGCACCCGCAGCAGGACCACCGCCAGGAAGGACAGCAGCAGTCTCAGCACCAACACCCGCAGCAGCTCCAGCTCCAGGCGGACCCGAGGGCCCAGCAGCTCCGGGACCAGCGGCACAAGTACCCTCAGCAGCCGAAGGAGCTCCAGCTCCAGCAGTACGTCTCCAGCGGCGAGCAAACCACTCGCGCAGCTCCTGTGGAGAGAGGGGCTCCCGCCGAGGCGAAG